CTTTGCTTCACGTTATGAAGAGGAGAGTGAAGAGTCATCCGGAAATGCAATCAAGAAGTGTGCGAGAGCAGAGCAAATATCGTCGTTTCTGTTTTCAATCTCTTACGGTTTAACTAACAATGGTAATTCGGTCACTTACTTATTACACCTTTTATCAAAAATTCACAATGGTAATTCGGTTTAACTAACAATTATTCTTTAACCATTTTTTTGGGTATGAGTGATTCTTTAACTTTTCATAATTTCCACGGCAGGCATGATATTCACAGGCTATCCGGTCATCGGAAAGCAAAACCGTATGATGTCGTCCGGTACATGTCTAGACAGTTATCGGGACGGATTGGTCACGTCTTGTCCGTGGGATCCACGGATAAAGGGCCAGTTCTTTCATCAAACAACATTCAGTGTTCCTCTCGCGAGTGTCAAATGTTTCATCAGCGACATTAAAGAACTTGTGAAGATTGAACCGAAATCTCTCTGCGTCCTTGAACGCAGCAACGGTATTCTCATGCGCTATGTCACTTCCTCAACTGCTTATCTCGGGAAAGAGGAAAAGGCTCTAGACTTTGACCTAACTTACTACCGAAGCAAAGAGCCCTTGACACCGCGTCTATACGAGGATTTCATAGAAGAGATCGAGCAAATGGTGATATTGAAATACAATGCGTTGCCACATTGAGGAAAGAACAGGAATTTAGCATTTGATGGCGCAATTAAGAAGTACAAGAACGCAAACGCGTTTCTGAAAGTAAAACAGAGATTCGATCCGTCTGGAATTTTTTCTACAAAATGGACTGATCAAATTCTTGGGATAAAAGGTAATGTGACAATTATGAAGCAAGGATGTGCACTCGAAGGGCTTTGTATTTGTTCAGATGATTCTCATTGTTCCCCGTGTAAAAGATATTTATGTCGACCCGGTAAAGTGTATATATAGAGAAGCTAGGGTTTGTTCTTATATAAGTCCCTAAAAATGTCCTACGAGAAATTTCTGAAATGATCGATGAAAAAATTGATCCTTCCTCAGTTACTCATCTCATATGATGATCATTGTGTAAAAAAAACCTCTGCTTTTTCGTAACCGCTTGTTTGCGAAACGTCGTCGTATGGATGTTGATTTTGGCACGTGCCAAAATTTGAGTAGAAGCTCGCTCGCTCGTACGTGTAGAGTAGAGTTGGTGGGTTTAGGGTTTAAAGTTTCTAGAGTGTTCTAAATTCATCTGTTTTTAGCCTATTACCAATCCAACGGCCCAGATTTACAACCAAATACTCTTGTATTTTAAACATCATAACTTTTCCAGTAGCGTAAATCGATTTTCTTCACGAGAAAACCCCTCATTTCACTTGCTAAAACCCTTGATCCATCCAATCT